CCCCCCCCGAGGCCTAGCTGAGCTAAGTCACAGCCCCTCAGTGGAAAGTTCCCTTCCTGGAGAGTCTCCCTGCTGAAACACAAGCACTTGGAACAAGATAAAACTGCTTGATTTGTAAAAGCCACAAAGCCAGTCCAGAACAAGGAAAAAAGGCCGACCCTTGGCTGGAAGAAGAAGTGGCCAGTCACTGCTCCGTGACTCATCCCCGGCCGGCTGAGGAGCCCTCCGGCATCTTCCCAGGGCAAGGCCGCAGCCTCGAGAGGGCTGGAGGCCGCCTGACTGCAGAATAGGACCCAGGGCCCACGTCCCAAACCAAGTGGGAGATAGGTGCTCGCGAGAGACGGAGGAGGGAGATCTGAGGTCTCTTGAGGCCGCCTGCACCTGCCCCAAGCCCCCTCCTCACCAGCCCCTCCTGGACAGCTGCTGGGCAGCGGCCAAGAGTCAGCCAGACACGCCTTAAATGCCAGCCCAGCGGGCCACGAGCAGTGACAGCTACGTCCGGAAACTGGCGGGTGGGGCGTCTGGCCACACAGGCCCCCGTCCACACACACGCTCGGCATCCTGGCCCCCAGCCCCACATCCGCCCGCTGCGCACTGAGGCAGCCACAACTGTCTTATGTTGTCACAAAGGGGCAGTGCCCTCGAGAAGCAGGCCCGCAGCCGGCGGGGTCCCCGGAACAGGCTCAGAAGCCCGCTGGCTGTGGGGATGCGGCCTCAAGGCCATGCTGATCCAACTCCCTCCCTGTACAGGTTGGGAAACTGAGCCCAGGGCTGCAGAGCGAGACTTGCCCAGGGACTGCTTAAGCTCTGAGTTACAAGTAAAGACCAAGGTCAAGGTCTAACCAGGTTTGAGAAACATGGGGAGACAGCTTGGGGACTTCTCTCTTCTGGAACCAGTTTCTAACCGAGCTTCGAAAAAAGTATTTGTTAATGAAAATGCATCCGAATGAGGATTTCAGAGAAAGTACCAACTTCTCCTCAGGCACATCCTGGGAGGAGGTCCCTACTGCACCCGTTGTCGTGCTGTCCTCGGCCGAGGGCGTGGTGCTCCACACTTAAAAAGGCACAGAGCGGACTGTTTGTTCAGTTCATGAAAAGCTCCTCAAGTTCACTTAGCCCAGGAGGTTCCAAGACGTTGCCACTGCTTCTGATTCCCCCAAGGACCCCCTTCCAGCCTCTGTGCCCTGGCTCTCCGGTCCCCTGGTGGTAACCCAGCTGGGCCTTGGCTTGGGCATCTGTTAAATGAAGGCTTGGCCGGAGGCCCCTGGCAGCCAGGCCAATGGAGTAACCATCCTCCCTGGTCCCACAGCCTGCAGCCCTTGCCAGCCGGAGAGCAAGGCACCCTGGCTAGCGCCCCGTCCATCCCAGCTGGCCTGCGTCACTGAGCTCAAACACACGTGAGATGCGGTTCTACCAGCCGTGTCTTCCGCCAGTCTTCGTGGCTGCCCCACCTCCTGTGGTCAGTCGCGGTGCCCGTTTGTGCGCCCTGCAGCACAGACGTGCACGCACACACACGCACCCCGCCAGCAGCTCCCCTGCCTGTGGCTGCCCCATCAGCCCTGACATCACACTGGGATCTGATCAGCCCCTGGAGCAGCAGGCAAGGGGCTATCTTCAGAGGAGCCACTGACATGCACCTTCCTTCCCTCTGGCCTCTTGGGGAGCGCCCCCCTGCAACACACACAGTGGCAAACAACAGACCAAGCCAGTGGCACTTGGGGAGCGACATTCTTATCCTCACTTTGACTCAGGGGTCATCTTAGAGCACCTGAAGCCCAGAGGCTGACGCCCCAGGACGTCTCAGGCCTGCACAGGGTACCCCAGCACCTGGCTTGAGGGGTGTGCCGTAAGCAGCAGGCCCCATAATCAATGGGAATTATTCGTGATGATATCAGATGCTGACACAGGACACCAAGCCCGAGAAAGAGAGGCTTCTAACCGGGGTGACTTAGGAGGGGCGGCCTCTTTTCTCTCCACTGCTTGGTTCTTGCCCCGATGGGTCTGAGCCCGCTCCAGTGACCCACTTGGCCTCGATCCCACACAGGGTGTGGGGACCAATCCAGGGACCTGCAAGGTCCCTCCAGCCCGAGGACCAGCCATCTGCCCTCACTCCTTGCCCCAACGTGGCATTCCGATGTTCTGATCAGTGATTCTGCCCCAGAATCTGAGCAGAGCCCACAGCTCCGATCTTTCCGTCCTAAATCAATCCCATCCAACCACGTGGATGATCATTGCTACCCCTTCTCTGTCCACGGTGCCCAGGTGAGTACAGGACCCAAATGACACCAGCACCTCCAAGTGGGAGTCACCTTGGTCAACTCTGCCAAGCTTCCGGCAGAACACAATAAGCTCTCTCTGTTGTACGTGTGCACGCGCGCACACGCGCGCGCGCACACACACGCATTTGCACATCTCGTTTGGGCACCGGGAGCTCCCGGCCCTGTAATCAACTCCCGGGAAGGCACCGAAATGCTATTTCAGGGAGGAGACCAAGGCGGCCTTGAAGACGGACTTTGGCTGGCAGCGAACAAACAAACCACACAGTGGACAAACCAACCACAATCGGCATCCCGGTGCCGCCACCCCGGACCCCAGCGCCAGAAGCAGGTCCCCCCACCCTTTCCCAGACTCCGGCGCCCACAGTCTCAGCATTCATGGCCGTCTTAAGATGCAAAAGTGGCACATTGGGAAATGAAAGAGAAACAGTGAGGGGACGGAGAGCCGAGTTTAAATAAAAGCCTGACTTAGCGAAGCTTCACTTTTGGAACATTACGTCCCAGGACCTCAGAACAGTCAAGAGGAAAAGAAATATGTCCACAAAAATGAGTCAAAGTGACCCTTGGGTGCTTATTTCCCAAAGCATAAAGAAAGTTGTGAGTTAAGGGGAAGGGGCAGCCGGGGGAGGAGGGCCGCTTGCCTACCTGTGATCCGGTCTCTCTCCATCACTACGGATATATTTAGCAGCAGGCGGGAGTCCCGGCGTCCCCCTTTCCAGAGGCGTCCTCCCCTTTCTCACCCCGTCGCCCTCCCTCTTTCTGCCTCCTTTCCTCCTCCTCCAAAAACACTCTTTGTCTGGTCTAATTTCTTCAATCTGTTGCAATCACGAATGCATCCAAATTACCACATTTCCATGTGCTGATCATATGTTTGTACTCCAAGCTGAAGCAGCATTGTCTCTTGGAATCGGGAGGGGAAAGGCAGCGAAGGAGAGAAATAAAAGAAGAGGCGGGAGCAAGGGCCGGACGTGGGCCTTGAAAGGCTCCTGCGGTCCCCAGGGTCCTCCGGGCCGAGGACCGGCCGGCGGGGCTTTGTGCGGTGGCTCCAGAGGTGCAGCGTGCGGCGGCTTCCGGTGCCTTCTCTCCACCCACTCCAGCCCCTCCGCCCGGGCTCGTCTCGCTGCTCCTTTTCAATATCCACTTGGAGAAGCTTAACTTAGCCTCTTGGAAACCAGCTCACAGAATCAAATTCCTGGAGACTTCCAGAGTCTTTCATTTCCCCCGGCCCGCGATGCTGCGATTTCCTTTGGTTGGAGCGTTTGAAAATCCTGGTTCCTGCCTTCCCGCCTTGCCTTCCCTTCCCTCCACCTCTGCCGGCCCTTCACTCCCACCCTGACCCGGCCGGAAGGAGGGGGCAGTCGCGCCCCAGGCAGGGGCCGAGGGAAGGTTCAGGAACACCTGCCGGGGATGAGCCTGGAGAAGTCACCCCTGCAGACGCCCGGGTGTCCCGTCCGCCTGCGGAGACAGAGGCAGCTGGCCGTCCCACCCCAGCCAGAGAGGGGAGCGCGGGACGGAGACTTCCTGGAAGAGTCCTACCACTCACTCATGAGTCAGTGAGTCTGCAGCTGTCCCCTGGGAGGGAGCGCAGCTCCTCGCCACTGATTTCCCCAGACTCAGCGCCTCTCTGGGAGAGGACATGGGGCCTGGCCGGGCTGGGGGCTCAGCACTGCTCCCTGCTATTCACCTGGGGTCCCGGGACTGCGCAGCTGGCAACTCAGGGGTGGAGGGGGACAGCACTTGGTCAGGGCGAGGGCTGGGGGGCACCCCCTCTGCCCTTTAAGCTTCATTCACCGCAAGGGTTCAGACTGGCAGCCCTCTACCCAAGACACAGAAGCAGGTTTTGTATGCCTAACTGACCCCGTCTAAAGAAAATGTGTATTCGTGCCAATGTTGCAAACGGGCAATTTCACCGAGAACTCCAGATTTTCCTCATCTCTCGGAAAAGGGAGGGCATATAGCCACACGGAATGTGTGGCCCAAGGGGCTGCCTTGAAGAGTGCTACCCTCTTTAGATGAAACCGCGTTTTCTGGATTGCTGTGGTCCCCACGGCCCCATCGCTCATTTTCGTTATCTGCCAGCCCCCCCTCCAGGTGACCTCTGAGTTTACAATCCTGCCCTACAGGGCCACATGAGCCACATGTCAACACAAGAGGGCCATGCACACTTCTCTGCTGGATGTCACAAAGTCCCCGTCCCCTCCTGCCCAGGGCAGGATCCCAAATGCAGTCTCCTAGGTAGCAAGGGCATCTTCTTGGGGGTTGTGGGGTGACACCTTCTGGGAGACACCAAATAGCAACACCCCACCCCCAGCAGAGTCTGCAGGACAGCTCCAAAGGTGGCTGCCTGCACAGTGACGGAAGGTGGGCACTGTGGTAGGCTGTGGTAGGCTGAACAGTGGCCCCAAAGATCTCACACCCTAATCCTGTAAACGGGACCTTATTTGGAGAAAAAGTCATTGCAGGTAGGATTAGGCGAAGGATCTCGAGATGGGAGATTATCCTGAATCAGGGGGTTGGGAGGGTCCTAAATGCCATCACATGTACTCACATAGAGGGGGGCAGAGGGAGATCTGACACAGAGAGAGAGAAGGGGATGTACAGACGGATCAGAGAGAGATGTGAAGAGGCTGGCCTTGAAGAGTGGAGTGATGCGGCCACAAGCCCAGGAAGCCTGGCAGCCCACAGAAGCTGGAGCAGGCAGGGAACAGCTTCTCCCCCAGAGCTCCCCAGGAGCCCGGCCCTGCCGAGACTTGGATTTCAGACTTCCGGCCTCCAGAACTGTGAGAGAATAAATTTCTGTTGACTTAAGCCCCCAAGTTTGTGGTAATTTGTTACATCAGCCACAGGACACTCAAACAGACACCACAGACAGACTTAAGAGCCAGGGCTCCCCGAACGATGTTTTCTGGTGATTATATTTCATTCTAACACATTACATTAAGCCAACCACCAACAATTAAGTTAGAACAATGGGAATCTTGGAGGTTTTTTTATTTGTTTGTTTAATCTCCTTTCTGATTTTGAAAAAAATATTCCTTATTGTTTTTCTCTGATTATAAACGTACTGTATGTTCATTGTATTAGATTTAGCAACTACATAAAACGTATGAAAAAAGAAACCCCTTTAATGCCACAGGGCACTCTTCGACACCAATTCCCGCTGTGGTGAGCAGGCCCAGGAAGGCCCCACGGGGCGGCAGACCGGGCCAGATGGGGGGCGGCTGGACCAGGACGAGGAGCCCAGCCATGGCCTCAGCCATCCTGACCACCTGCTTCAGGTGCCGGCTGCACACGCTGTGCATTTTGTTGCTGCGGTTGGTGCAGCTGCTGAGCACAGCCTGACCCTCGGTTTTTCTCCGGCATAGTCTGGCTCAGTGTCCTTTCCCCAACCATGCCTAAAACTCCAAGCATTCTGGCCCAAGCGGGGGATAATTTGAAACCGAAAACCTGGCAGCACCGATTGGCTCCGATGGGGCCGTGTTAGTCATGAGCCGCGAAGAGGCCAGGCACAGAGGTGGGGTGAGGCCAGGCAATGGGAGAAGGGGGCGGCCGACCCCCACTGCTCACTGAGTCCTGGCCTCAGCAACGGCCACTCAGGGGGCAACTGCTCAGCAGGTCAGGGCTCCCCACGTGGCTTCTCCTTCTAGCAGAGCAAGACAGGGCTCTGTGGTTATGAAAAACTTTGTCCTGGTCTTTGATTTCAACAAGCATATTAGCATAGTAAACCAGTGAGCAGCCCCAGTGAGGGGGCTGGCTTTTGAACTCAGCACATCCCCAAACTGACCAATGCCTTATGCCCTGGGGAGGCAGGACCCACCCCCCCGGGCCACAGTTCTGGGAACTCTGCTTGTGCCAGCCAGCAAGCCACAGCTCCCAGCCACCGGAGCCTGCCCACGTCCTGGGATGGGTACTGTTGCCCAGCAGCCCCTTCCAGACAGTTCTAAAGGCAGCATCTCTACCCTTGACCCCCAAAGACCTGTACCTGTGATCTGCATACTCCCAGCCACCTTCTTTTTGATGTCACCATCACCAGCGAGGAGCCCAGTGCAGGGTAAGGAGGAAGGGTGAGGCCTGCTTTATCTTTAAAGACACTGCTATGCCCCTTTCCACGAAGTGCGTGCGTGCGCCCCAGCGCCTGGCTGGGACGGGACACAAAAGAGGCAATCCCAGTGACCCCTGAACTCCCATCACAAGCCAGGAGGCCTGGGCTGGCCCAGCCATGCGGAAAGGGGGCAAGCGCTCCAGGTGAATCTGATACAGGCAGCAGGGGCCTCAGGAAGGGGTTGACAAGAGGGGCACAGCCTTGTTCCTGGGGTACATTCTGGGGAGGGGCCTGTGGGGAGGCGGGGGAAGAGGGATTCGGCTGAAAGGACACTGTCTGAGGCTCTGAGCTCAGAATCTCTGCCACCTCTCCCCTCCCCTCATTCAGGTACTTGCGAATCCTCCATAATTAGCTCCAAGCTATAGGGGATGCCCACCTCTCACTTAAAAAAAAAGACTTTTCCGTTCATTTCCTGCTCATCCCCAGACTCAACCACACAGTTTGCTTCCCTTAGTTAAAAATAAAGAAGCTCCATCCCCCAGACCCCCTCCCGCTGACCCTCCTGCAGTCACTGCTACTGTACCTGCCAGCAAAGCGGGCAGCCGGCCGAGACCCTCCAGGGCCGGCCCCAGTCTGGCCGCCAGCAGCCTTCCAGAGCAAGACGAATTCCGGGCCCGGGGCCTGCTGCATTCCTCTCCGGAATCTTCTCTCCACTTTTTATTGCGCCTCAAGTTTCGGCCGTTCCTAAATAAATACGATCCAGCTACTCTCTGCCCTGGGGACTGCTGCAGGGTTTACTGGTGCAAACAGCCTGGGCCGGCCTGCTGCCCTGGGAGTTCTTCCAGGTCAGTGTGGAAGGAAATCTAGACAATGGAGAGAGGGGGCCCAGACAGGGCCAAATTCCACCGCTAACAGCCCTCATGCTCAGCCATCAATCCTTGACTGCAGCCCTGCCGGAGCTGGGAGCCGGAGCCTCACTCCTAAAGGCCTCCAGCTGCCCGTACAGAGCAAGAAGGATCCAGGGGCGTGGAGACCAGGGTGCTTGATAGAGTCTGCCCCAAGGCCCCTGTGTTTAAACTCTCCAGAATACACGAAAACTCCCCGAAGAGCTGGTGTCTTTCACTTCCTACTGGGATCCCAACATTCTGTCTGCTCAGTGGCACCCAGTAAATGCTCTCTGGATGAACAATGAATCTGAAAATCCAGTGTGGAGGCTAATCCAGACCAGTCCTGCCCAGCAGAACTTTCTGCGTTGATGTAAATGCCGTGTATCTGCCGCGTTCAATATGGCAGCCACGTGTGGCTGCTGAGAGCCTACCGTGGGGCCACTGCTATGGAGGAACTGCGTTTTTAATTTGTATTAAATAAATAATTTAAATGTAAACAGCCACTGCGCCTACTGGCTGCCTCTCTTCTCCTCGTCCTCCCTGGAGACATGGAGTTCTCCATAAATTTCTTCCCCAGAAGGCAAACAAAGAGAAAATCTGCTTGTCAACCAAGGCAAAAGAAGACTGATATTTTTATTTTAAACTTGTTTTTTTGGCCAATCCCCCCCAGCTTCTCCTATCAAGTTCGATTCGACAATGTTTACTGGCTGCCTGCCATGTGCCATAAGAGCACCCAGCCCTACGGGGTGGGGAGGATAGAGGAATCCCCGCCACCCACCTGCTAACGGGATTGACAGGCTGGGTCAAATTACCCTGGAAAGCGAATGGCTTCCAGAGCTGTGACCCCTCCGAGCAGGGAGGGGAGAGCAGGGGTGAGAGGCTAGACAGGGGAGGGAAGCCTCACGCTGGGTTTACCGTTTATCCTGAGGAGGAGGGAAGCAAGGGTTCTTTTAGTCAGAGGACAACCAGGTCTGTTTTAAAGAATCCCGTGGGTGGAGGCTATCACCCAGGCCGAGGCACACAGGGGGGACTGAGAAAAGCCCCCCAAACACCAACTGGACAGGGAGGAGGAGCCTCTGGTGGGGAGAAAGGGGGTGGGGGGTGAGGGGAGACACAGAGGCCTGACTGAGACACGGCCAAGATAACGGGTGGCCCGTCCAAGGGCCACCTGGGGGGATGGTGAGTCGACAAGACCTTGGCCACCTGTTGACCTGGGGGGGCTGGGGTGGGGCAGAGGTCAAGGACGACACTGAGACTTGTCACTTGAGTGCCTGGGTGGATGGCGAGGCTGAAACGTGAGAGAAGTGGAGGAGGGGGGGGGCCAGTGGGAGGGGGGAGTAACAGCTGGGGATGCCTGCGGGGGGCCGGGTGTCAGGTGCACAGCAGCCAAAACTCTGGCGGCCTCTTCCTGGACCAGCTCCTCCACAAAGGACACTCCCCTCCCTCAGTGACAGAGCTAGCGGCTCTTCTGTGCTGCCCTGGAGAAAGGGTGGGCATCGAGCTGGAGGGGCCCTACCCCTCCTCCGGTGCCTACTGTCCACGG